AGCAAATGTCAAAATTAAAGACTCCAATGAGGTGTATGAACAAGTGGGTGATATATCCTCTGATTAGCTAGAATGAACAATTTTAATACCAGACTTATGTTTACTGAATGCAAACCTACATGGTTTTAATAGTTCTGCAAACCAACAAAATAAGAAATTAAGCAGCACAAGCACAAAGGCAGTTTAAAATAGATTATTCAAATTTCGAGGCTTCAGCTAGTCAATTTAAAATCATGATTAAAACCAAATGGGGAGTTTTCAAACTAGTCGAGTAAAAGGTCAGTTCTTCTGTTTATTATCTCTGTGCGATATCACCACTTTCCTCTCAGGACACCACCATAACCTCCAAACAACCACTTCCAGTATTACAAACCCAAGACAAAGATTTCACATGGGGAGAAAGCAGAACAATATACTTCTAAGCAATACTGACCTCATTATCATTGAGGTTTTAAAAGATACAACCATAAGAGAAACAAGAAAACACGTAAGATCAGCAGTTTGTCCTAAAAACGAACAAACAAAAACCCCTAAAAACCCACAAAGAGCTGGACTGAACCCAGAACCCTGGATGCAGGCTCCAGGCTGTTTAGCATTATCCATGTCAGGAAAAACCCTCATGTAGTAGATTTGGGGTTTTGCTTTCAGCAATAGCGCTCACAGACAGCTCTTAGGAGGGCTCTACAGACCAGCGACTCAATCCAGCAGTGTTTGTCTCATGATCTTACAGTTTTTCAGAAGTGTCACACTACAGATCTTAAACATCTTTAAATTACTTTCACGAACAAAATATAGATTGCTGTGAGCTACTGAACTAGCGAAGTCTTGTTTCCTTGTACACGTGACTTGTGGTTGGACTTGTTATAACAAAACACAGACTATGATAAAGGCTGCTTACAGACACAGTATCACCTTGTTCTCTTCCACATGGATTTTTCTAAAAATCTAAAAAGGCTGAGCTCACGCTCCAGCCTTTTGATACAATAGATCTCTTTTCTAAAGTTTTCAAAAACAATTTTAGAAACAAATTTACACGGGATTCCTCTCACCCATCTTTAGACACCCACGACAAGTTAGTCCACAGCCTGCCTGTGAATTGTATTCAGTCACCAAAGAGGAGGCCGTATTGTACAATACCATGCACTTCATCCATGTCAGATGCTATTTGAAGAAGTGATGAATCACCCCAGAACCGCCAACTTCTGACTGTACAGAACGTTCAGAGTGGAGCTGCACAAATCAAACCCACCCTAAGCTGAAAATGGCCAATAACAGTACAAAAATTACTGCAGGATGGACTGGGAGAAAAGGAGAAAAAAAGGCAGTGGGACTGTTACAGCTTTAACTCACTAGAAAACCAGCTAGGTACCATTTGCAATCCTGTGTCATCGCCGCACAGGTTTAGCTAGCCACCTATCTCCAGGGTACCCCCTCCAGGTGGAGGAAGTCCAGAGCCTGGCCTGACAGCTGGTCTGACAGACACAGGGAGTTCCTCCACCGGGGCTGACTCCCCTTGCAGCAGCTCTGATACCACACATCCTGCCCGCAAGCACTGCGGCAAGCCAAAGGCACTCTGGGGCATTACAAAGACAGGACCCACATGCCACGTCAGCCCTGCCCTTCATCACACGGGCTGGCAACAGTCTTCTCCTCTTAACACAGCTCTGGTCATGCTCTCACACAACACAGCAAGAAAGGCTGCGTGACAAACATTGCAATGACACAGAAACCTTTCTACAAACTTGGAATTTAGGTATGCTGAAGCCCTGGCTAGAGGTATTCTTTGCTTTGTAAAGGGTTACCCCACTACCAGGAAGTTTTATCCACTGGAAGCAGAGAGAGATCTCTAGCAGGGTTTCTGCAGCAAGCACAGCCAGAGGGAAGCCAATGGGTTCCAGCAGTTACACGTTGTTCTGAAGTATTTTTTGCTTGCTTGTTTTGAATGGACAATGCCAGTTAACGAAGCCACAATATGTCCCAAGTGAATCAGAAGCAAAATGAGAGCAAGTTTCCTTACACAATACTGTTTTATGCAACAGACAGAACTGCTTGCATCAGAGATTACCTGCAGCACTGTGAACCGAGCAGAGGTTTTAAGGAGGAATTAACTTCAGTGAGGACGGGAGGAAGAAGACAAGTACAGACCAACCACCCATTAACTAACTACAAAGGTTGAAATTAGTCATCGTGAAAAATCAAACTGTTGTCAGAGCTACGCTCACAGTGCCCACAGAACTTATCTCCTCACAACATGTGGATTTAGAAACAAGGCAAGCAGAAGCAGTCATTTGAGAAACTGGAAGAGTCTTGTCCTCTCTGCCACTTCTCCTGTGACTTGTCAACCGCTCAAGTCCCTGCATTTGTGAAGAACTTCAACATTTACTGCTTGATACTCACCTAGGTTGAAAGTCTACTGAGCAAGGCAAGGAAGAAAATTTTTCCCTGTTCAACTTATACAGTCCAATTACAAAGGCGCAAATCCATATTGCTTCTTACCATGCTATCAACCTACTACATGTTATGGACCTTCAGAGGAAGGCCCCAGAGATTTAGCTCAATGTCCAACCTTCAGTGTTTTGGAGCTCAAGCAGTGCTCTAAAGAAAAAAGCAAACTCAGTTTTGCTGGTTCATATTTCATTTCTACCACTGACTTCATCTATGCAGCTCCTCCTAGTGTATCCCATCTCTTTCTCATTACATTTTCATTTGTTTCCAACAGTAAAAGGATAAGGGTGAGCGTGTTTGATTTGACTTTTCTTTCTTCTGTGACCTTTCCAGCATAATCCTGACTGCTTGAGAGCCTACACCACCATTCTGCATATAGGTACAACCCAGCAGTGCTAGCTACACAAAAACAAGGTGGTTTCACGTTTGTACTAAGAAGTGACATAAAGTTCTGGTGTTTAACTAATGCTGGATGAACAGGGATATTCTATTAAACCAATTGCTTTCTCTCATTACTGAAAATCTGAATAAAAAAAAATTAAGCAGGGAACCTAAGTTCTGCCCTGAAATGAAGAAATGACTGTGGCTTTTCTGGATTGTTGCCTAGATGATCCCTGCAAAAATTTTACTACCAGCAATGTTCAAGAGTGTCTTTAAGGACAATTTCAACTTGCATAACCTAACAGTAGTTCAACCAAAGGCAATAATATGGTATGGATCAACAGAATTTCTGCAGCGGTACCAAATGAAAAAGAGGAATAAGAAAAATCTTTAGCATAAAGTATAAATTAATTTTAACTTCATTTTAAAGAATTCAACTCCATGCTGTTACTTGCCCTGCAGAGGTAACCTGGACAGACATGTTTTTAAATGAAAATGTAAAATCCACACTGCTGTTGCCATAGTTACCTGTACAAATTTCTAACACGTAGGGGCTAATTTCTCTAAGACTGGAAGGTCAAGCATATGGCAGAGGGAATAGTGATCCTAGCAGTGACTGCCCTCTCCAAACTCAGATGGACAAGCTCCACTCTGCTGGACTTTTCTCTGTCAGAAACTTTGGTAAAACACTGAGTGACTTACTATATCCCTGACATCTTGGCTAATCTGAAAATAATTATCATGGAGGATAAAAAACATGGAACAGTAATAGCACAGAGGTTGCTCTGCAATGGCAGGGACTCCTTATGGTTTACACACAAACATATGGGCAACATAATATTTAGTTTCCACACTAAACCACATGGGGAAAAAAATTATGGCCTGATCCTCCGTGGCAAACACGTCCACCCTCAACATCTTCATATGCAAGTGAGGTAGTCAACACCATAGAAGAGGCCTTATGGGAACAGGGTCATTCCATCAGTGTTCATGCACACCTTATCATTATGTTCACACCTCACCAAGGGCCTTATCCAGTCCAATTCCCAGTGAGGATAGTGCATCTCCTTCAGACTCTGGAATGCACCAATAGTTGCCCTCAGATACACCGCTGTGAATGCACTGGCAGTCACTCACTCCTCTGCGCCATGCAAGTGTTAGTGCAACTTACAAGTAAATTAGTTCTGCTCCACAAAAGCTCATTAATGAAGCAGATTCAGCCAGTGCCACAGAAAACAAAATCAAAACAAGCAAAGCAGAACAAACAGGTTTTCAAAAAAGCAGAGTGACTGTGTGAGATCACAAAACATCCAGATAATTATCAGTAATACTAGCAGCCCAGTCAAACAGTATTTTGGGTTGATTTGGTTTCACTCTTTTACATACCAGTTGAAGGTATCTGATCATCAGAGTTCTCATTCACCTAATTAGCTGGTGGACATGCTGAAAAGAGTAGAAAGCAGTAGATAGGTAGCAGTACTTGAGCAACATTTATAAAGGAACTGAAAGCACATGAAGGAGAAGATTACCGATCTTTTTTCCCCCCAAGTCAGAAACTGACTAGGGTCTTCCTTTCCCCCCACTCAAAAAGGAAATGCAATTTCACTACCTGTAGAGGCAGTTTGTATTAGGATCTCTCAAACAGTGCAATGTCTGTAGAATTACAAGGGGGGGAGAGATTCCTGTTTGTACATAAGGTCTGATACTGTGTGATATGCATTGCAAAAATATACTACCTGCTTTGAAAGCACATATTCTGTTAGTCCAGAGTTTAAAACTTGGAAACATCATCCTTGCTTAAATCACAGGAATCATTTAAATTTACAAGTAGATGAACTCTTTCTAAGAGAAAGCATAGGCCTCAATTCAGCTGAGTGCTTGATTTAGATTTTCCCAAAATGGATGCACAAGCTCAAGTGTGTTGCTGACTTACAGCCAACAGTTACCACAAGATTTCAAATTTCAAGCTTTTCTTTACAAGCCAGCCAAGTTTAAAAACCATGGACTAAGACTCCATAATGCCTTTAAGTTTAAACTACATAGACCATACCCAGTAGGATTTTCTAAAGCGTACAACATTGCCCCAACTCTGCTCCAATCAAATCACTTGGAGAAACACCTTCAACTTCAGCCTAAACACAGCATACTTCAAATATGCATACGTGGTCCCTTACCTTTAATAACAAAAGCTTCAGTTACCAAACGCAGCACGTACAGAGGTTCATCTTTTGTTGAGAAGTCATCAATTCCTGCTCTTGCATACATGCTGATGGCATCTCTGTAGGATCCCTCCACATAATGAAGCTTTCCTAGGATCAGCATAGCTTCTGTCATATACTTAGGCTGAAACAGAGGCGGGGGGAGAGGAAAAGAGTGTTTACATGGTAAAAAAACCAGACAGTGAGAATGAGGTACTTCAGAACAAATTAAGCAGATTCATAATGCTTTCCTCTCAACACTGCTAGCTCTGCAAGCCAGAGTAGGAAGGATTTAATTGTCTAGAGATCTTAGGGATACTCTGATGAGAGCAGCAGGCAACAAAGGTCAGGCAGCTACTTTGGAAATACACAGCTTACAAGCCACCTCTTTGGTTTCAGCTGACCTACTCTATTGATTCACCAGCCTCACATAGCACATAAAAGCCTGGCATTGTCAGAACTACCTACTTACACACCAAGAAAATCCCCTGCTTAAAAGGCAGAAAGCAGTGCTTTTTAGTCAAGTGCTCCCCTCTCCTCTGTACATTTAATTTAAAAGCAAGAAAGCTCCCAAATTTTCTTAAGCTATCAAAAAATTTTCAGGCAACAGGAAAAAAAACAGAAGGCACACCTGCTATTTCTAAGATTTGTTTGGTTTCTTAAGGATTGAAAACATGCATACAAATCTGTGTAACAAAAAACACCTCGGTAAAATACATCCATTCAAACCCTTTTTATGCTTTGGAAAGCATGAAAAGGTTCCTAAACCTTCATGCTAGTTTTTTTTAATACATGCAGTCAACACAAGATCAATGCTGCAGGACTAGCCAAGTCACCACTAACAAAGAAATAGTAATGGAAATTCACACAGCCAAACTTGACACCAAGACTTCGAAGAATTCAGTGGTTCTGGCTGTTACTGGGGCTAAACTGTAAAGAAAGAGGGTTGGTTGGACTCCCCTTCCTTTCCCTCTCCTTTTTACTTTTTAAACACGCTGACTTTCAAGAAGTTAAGAACAAGGAACTCCCCCAGAAAAGCCACTGCACACTTGCTTCCTGCAAATTAACGTGATAAAAGTATAACATACACTTCCAAGTTAACTAGCCTGTAAGTTTCAGGACCACAAGTAATACAAGTCTAGAACAGACAGTTGTAATTCATCATCTTTTTAAAGCCAGTTACACAGCTGTGTGTCTAAGGACACCAACACAGCAGCAGCGATCAAGGCAGAGTCTTGAAACACTCCTAAAGCTCTGCAGCTGAGTTGACAGGCGGCTACCAACCATGCATCCAGACCACAAAATAAAATAAAAGCATAACTTCGCCTAACTTCTCTGGCAGAGATGAAAAGCAATGCAAGGTTGTAACCATGGACTCAGACCACAACCTTAAGTGCCCGACAGCAGCTTGCAGCACATTTTACCTCTGATCTGGAGCTGACCAGGTGTACACAATTCCCTCAGACCAGGAGTAGCAGTAGGTCACTCAGCTGTGCTAGCCTGACAGCAATCCAGAGAATTCCTAAATATTTATCCTGCTTCTTTCTAATAAAAAAACCAAACAGGATATACACTTGTAGCACATAATTCATTTGTGTACAGAAAAGCAAGTTTCTCCACAGAAGACACTGCAAAGGGGTATTGAATTACCACGCCATTAGTAATGCTTATAATACAGCATACAGGGACATGACCAGGCAACACCAACACCTTGTATCAGGCTAATAATCATATGAAAGAAGCATCCAGTTAGCAGGAATTACGACAACAGAGCCCACTTACTCGTAGCTTTCCTCTGGTTAAGATACTGGTCAGATACTGTTTAACTTCACTCAGTTTTGGCTCATTCTTCTCTGTTAGTGGAATGGAGTCCTTCAGTTTGGCAAAGTTTTCCTTCAAACATTCTTCTAGCAGAGCCTCTGCAAGCAGCATGCTCCCGTAGTCCTCTGAAAGCACATACCAACCAACAAGAAACATCACTTAGTGCTGTACTGCTGATAAATAACATTACAAAAACAAAACAACACAGCTTTGAGACACACAAACAGTAACTCAAATGAGGGGGGGAAGGGAGAACTAGCAGACAGAAAAAAAACTTCCATTAACTACTAGCTATTGGAAGCAGTATGTTTCCTATGAAAAAATGAAACATTTCCTTTTAACTTGAAGATTTTCCTTAATGAATCCTTTAATTTTGACAGCACAGTTCATTCTTGTGTTGTCACTAATATACCAGTTAAGAATTTTCATCACAAAATTCACTTTCAAAAGTATAAGACCAATCTTTGCAAACATTTAAGTGCATGCTTCAGATTTACAAATGAACAAGCATGAAATGCATGCTTCAGACTAGATAAGTTATGGGTTTCACTGCAGAACAGTAATCACATCAGAAACTTTTAAGATTTTCCTGAAAGTTCACAGAAAAAAAAAATAGAGAGTTTACACACATTCAACACGTCCGTTACTGAAAACACACAAGGCTTGATCCAGTGACATAACTGACATGTCACATCAAATTATTTCTGCATTAAAATCTATTCCTGCTCACAGTTCCACAGAAAAGAAACTCAAACATACATAGTAGCACAGGATACAGCATGAAGCATCATGTGCTGGGAAAAAAAAAAGTTTCATCTGCCAGTGTACTTGGAGTTCTTGCAAGATGGGTCCAGTTCTGCAGTTAATTTATTCATAAAAGTAGTATCTCAGTCAGCTGAGTAGTGGGTCAAGCAGGGTAAGAAAATCTTTGTAAATCAAAGAGCGAAGCCCTACATTTCATATATACTTCACATTTCAAAGTCTGAAATTCTAGAATGCAGGAAACATGATAGTGTATCTATTTCTGTATTTTCAGTCCATGGGACAACTTATCCCCATTTACTACCTATACATTACATACGGCATTAATAATCAACTTGTGGGGGGTTTTTTGTTGTAGACTTATTTTTTTGTAGCTTAAGTGTTCAGCTGCATATCAGATTACAGCCCTAGCTCCTCCTGTTTGATTGCAGGCCTACAACTAACTTGCATGATCAGAGTCTATGCATATAAAATTGGAAGTTTAAATGTTCAAGTATATTTCCCCCCTCAACTTTACAAGCAGTCATTTCTACACAACACTGAAGAGCTTTCGGGTAGTCACTAATCTCTTAACCAAACTTAAGGAATTAGATAAAATCATATACAATTAAGAAATAAACATACACAATCGCTCAAAGCAAATACTAGTATTAAAAAAAATCCCATCCAGACACATTACTGTTTCTAGAAACACAAAACTGTAATTAGTCCCTTGCTGGAAGAAAAGTTCTGTAGCAACAACAAAGCATTACTTTTTCATAACTAGCAAGTTATGATGACAAAACACCAAATTAACAAATAATGTTTTTACAGCAATTATACTGTTGTCTTACCTCTTAATTACAAGGAAACAAACTAATATGAACTCTTCAACTATTAATGCCTCCAAACTGCATGATGATCTCTGCACCTGGGAAGCACTGCTAAAACCTGACTAAAGTTCGAAGGTTGGCCGTGTGGTTCTCAACACGGGGTTCAATCTGCATCACCTATACGCTTGGAAAGCCTCCTAAATAAGCACGTATTAGGCTGCCAGCATCTCCCCCACCATACTTTTCTACTGTGAAGTTTACTGCACTCCAACAAGCTTCAATTAACTCTAGGGCCACATCCTAAACCCACTCCTCTAAAGAAGTGTGTTTATTCATAGGAAATAGCTCATCTGATCTCAACAGCAGAGCCTCTTGTACCAGCGCGGTGGCTAGGATCAGGTCCTCTTCACAACTTACTGCTGCTGACTACAGACACGGAATTTTACATTTCTAAGTTCGGCTACCTCGCTCATTTCATTTAAAAATGGGTAAAGCAGCGTGTTGTAACAGGAAAAAAGGTAAGAACACATCGCTATTTATGAAACCTGTCTTACATGTGAAAGGATACCTGGACGAGCCCAAGCCTTTAAATAAAGCAGCCCCCTTCAGAAAAGTAGAGGGGTAATTTTGGGACATCCATAAAGGGGTGGGGAGGGAGCAAGAGGGAATCAGCACCGCCCGTACCGGGAAGTTGAAGAGGGACGTTTCCAAGCACCGAGGGCTTCGGTCGGTAGCCTGCCCACAGCCCAAATCCAAGGCAGGCACCGAGCG